GTTTTGTATCTGCAACTTTGGTATGCACATTGAGGAGCTGAAAACAGGATAAAATATCACCAGCACATATGTGTAGCCATATATACATATATAATTATATAATTATATACATATATACGTATATACATCTCCATGCATACACATAAGCGCCCAGCATCAAATCTTCGGAAGAATACGTAAAGGACGGGGACGATCGCCTCTCACCAGGCGGCCGCCGAGGCCGCGCGCCTCAGGGAGGAGCAGGAGGCGGAGGCTCGCTGAAAACTGCACGGAAGGGGAGACGTTGAAGGTAGACTCAAGCCCAGGCTTGGTTGATTTTTCCTGAAAAGGGCAGCTGGGTTTATGTCTTTGCATACTCAAAGAACCACATTGTGGAGTTTTCGCTCATTTCAAGGTCAGCCGAAAGGATGTTTCGCTGTTTTACACAGCGAGAGGGAGAAGGTGGGGGCTGTAAACCCAATAGTGAGCGTGTCGTGCAGGTTGCCAGAGACCTGGCACTTGCCCATCAGCTCACGCTATTCTGTAGATCCATCTCTACAAATCTCGCATCTGAATTCGAGATCTCGTATGGGTGTGTTTGTTCTAGGGGACCCCCCAAAATGGTGGTCTTCCTGTTAGTTTCCCGGAAAACACAGCAAAACAGGGCACACTCAAAAAGACCCCAGTCTTCTCTTCGATTCGCGCGGTTTCTTTTGCAATGCAACTCTAGGAGGCGCGGAAGAGGGCTGCGGCCCGGCGCGCAAAGTCAGGGAGCCCAGAGACGTGAGGGACACCTCGCACGCCATCGTGTTCAAGGAACCAGGGAACCATCGGTTCAAACGGCTTTTTTTTGGGGTATGAGCCAAGGGCTCTCGGGGGGGGCTCGTTGCGAGAAGATAGATGGAGTCGGCATGCAGGTCCCGGACGCTGTTTGCTTGTGAAGAGCCACATGGCCGTCGGCCTCATCTCCTTGACGCCACACCGAGGGGAGTGATGGGTGGAGCTCTTTTGGGTTCAGCCCCTTGGGCGATCAGGGGGGAACTTCTTTGCAGCTCATTGAGCAGGTTGATTCGCAGGATACCCATCAACAGCGTCCGCACGAGGCCGGGCTTCTCGCAGCTGCTTCAAGCTTTCGGTGTGGCGGAAGACCCGCCCACCCCGTCTGAAGAGGCCCGTGCGCGGGTCAGCCCCGCCGAAACCTGGGGCTCTTTTCGGGGTCGGCGGCTTGCGAGGGAGGCCCAGAGGATAAACCCTTAAGCCACCTTCATAGTGGCGAAGTGACTCAGAAACCCTGCGCGCATGATTCCGCTAGCTCTTTCAGGTTGCCCAAAGTGCCACCAGTTCTTTGGGATCAGATGTTCAGGCCTCAGGCCTTGCAGGGCCTCCAGAGTTTTTCCTCAAGACGGTCCAGTGCAAGTTTCACGCGGTTTTCTCCAGCACTCGATTGCGGGCACGCTGCAGGATGAGGATGGATCAGAAGGCGAGGAGGCAGCGGAAGGCAGGGTCTGCCAAAAGAGGCAGCTGCATGATGAATCCTTCAGACGCCACAGCTTGCTTGAGTTCCATTGTGCTCAAGACTACCCTGTACTGTTTCTGCGTTCGTGGACACTTGAATGACATAGCGGCCATCAATGATTCTGAGAGTGGCAAATGGCCTGGAGGATACAGCATGGCTTGACAGTGTGCGTTTGCTTGTGCAATCAGGATCAACTAAGCTTCATTGTGAGAGCCCGTCATAATTTTACGGTTCCAGCTGCATATTCTCCGCCTGAACACCTGCCTGTTTGCTCTTCAAAGCGACCCAGTAAAAAACAGATAGATAAGCCAATTTGGAGGAGCTGCATCATGGGGCGACTGCGGCGCCACTGGACATGGCCCATCTCAAGCTATCGAGATGACGTGGTCATCCGGTGCGGTTCCACGTCTGCGCAGGGGCACGGATGGGCACGTGAGTCTTGGGGTAGCAGTTTGAGACCCCGAGTTCTTGGACGCCATGTAACTCTACCTATCGACAGCCCACGCGATCCTCGCGCTTTGCCAGGAGCCGTCCCAGGGCCAGAGATGCAGGACCAGGCACTGGGGGCAGGCTTTGCCTTTGATTTGGGGGTGTGTTCTTGAGGCTCGGTACTCTTTACTAGGGACACCAAAAGGAAAAAGACTGGCGGACTCTGTTTGGGGGGTGCTGTTGACATCCTGCCTGCCCTTTGAGACTGAGCGACGAATCGCAGTTTTTGGAGCTTGTTTGGCTACGTGTTTTCTTCCCACAATCCATGTGCGGGGGTCAAGTTGCTTTGTATTTCACTGAAATCAAGGGTACACTCTAAGATCCTGAGTTATATACTTTGGAGCCTCGGTGTTTCATTCCAAAGCGGCCGGACAGAGACCTCTCTGGTTCCTCGCTTCAGAACGAATGCTGCTCCTTCGCTTCATAATCTGAACATGCTTCACGATTGAACACTCTACACAGACTGTGTTGCTTCAACCAAAGCAAACCCACAGCTGAGGCTCCTACGAGTCGTTTGAGCCAACCTCTGGCTGCCTCTGGCATGATCGATCCCATTCAGTTGATGGATGTTGGTCCGTGTGATCGCTACATTATTTGGGTTGAACCGCAGACCTTCCGGATGCTTCTCCTTTCAGATGGAGAACCTGGGCTGATGCGCATGGAGTCACGCTGGTTTGCACGAATGCATTGAATGCATGCCGCATGCTCGTGTCAATGCCGTCGAGATGTGCCGATAGATAGGGACCTTTCATGCTCTCTAGAGGCTATTTTCTGCAAGCTACTACTATGTTTTTGCAAGCAGATGGAATCGGGCTCAACTTGTTTGTTGCAGCATACATGCTCAGATTGCACACCTCAAGTCATCAACAGGATGCTTCTTTCAGACCTGCTGAATTCATCCACACCACCAAATCCTGGCTTTGGTTCGCGCGAGGGCCACGGGTCAGGCTGAAGGAGAGGAAGAGGAGCCCTTCGAGGATGACGAAGATCCAGAAGAGGCGGGACGTCCAATTAATTTGCATTGCCTGGCGCCTTCCTTTGAAACTTGGACGTTCCCGCATTGCTTCCAAGCCAGGAGTCGGAGGAGGAGAAGGATGCAGAGCCTGAAGAGGAGCGAGCTTTCTGGGGGAGAGCTCAATGTCAGGCAAGAATGGAAAGAGCGAAAACGGACCAGGGTGGACTCCAGCCACCATTGACATGGCGTTCAAGCAGATAGCTCGACAGCATCATGACGCCTTGCCCATTTGGCGACTGGTCCTGTGCTTCAAGGGAAGCTGAAATTGAAATTTACATCCTTACTTAACTTTTGCTCTATGGAGAACCCAATCGGTAAGAGAGGAGGACATTTCATGGCATGATGAATCCAGAGAAAAGCAAAGTAAATTGTATGACATCTAGATTCTCATTCCCTTTTTCTTTCTTTGTAATCTGATTATTTGTAACCATGTTGACATTAATTCCCATTCCGCTTCCCTCTCCCTTGATCTGTCTAATGGTCTAATTAGGGAAGCGATGGGAATGAATGGGAAAGAGAGAGCGACATGAAAAAGGAGCCTTGCACATTTGTGTTCCACCCTTCCACCAATTCACATGGAACCTGACAGGGACCGAAAACCCCCCGAAGGTCAGGGGGTTGAACTTTTCCGAGCCAGTCCAGCGGCTTGGACTTCTTCGAGCGCTTCTGGGAAGACCCGCCTCTGCCGCTGCACGGGTTCGGGCCCGACGTTTGGCGGGGCCATGCTACCGGGGTGAAGCAAGCTGTGGTTGTCAAAACCAATGGGATCCCATTTTTGGGGGTTTTCGGTGCACCAACCGGTTTTAGAACCTATTTTAGTGGGGATTGGGATGTTCACTCAAGGTACGGGATTTCGACCTATGGCCAGCCTGTTTTTTGGAGGGGGTTCTTCAGCTACCCACGACCGCATGAGCGGAGCGGTCTAGACTTTAACCAGTAGTAGCAGTGTTGTTGTGGCTATGCGCCTGAGGCATCACGTGGAAGAGGTGATTGAAAGTTGCAACCAGTTCACCTATTCAAACATCGAACATGTTAGGGCCAGTGTCTGATCATTCGCCAAACCTCCGATCTTCTCTGCATAGAGCTTGCTTTTGAGCAATCATATCGTCCCTACGACCATGTTTTTGTCTTGTCCGGCTTTGGTGTGTTCCCGCTGAGGCCCGGAAGTGCGCGGACGACAGGCCCACCTGAATGGATCAGGGACAAGCTCCCCTGTAAGTCCACTGAGTGGTTGTGAGGGGAAACCGCCCAACCTGGACCTTGCTATGAGCGTCTTGCACCGCAGAATGCTCATCAGACTTGGCTGCACTAAGCAGCTCTCTGCAGCTTTGTCAAACCTGGTGGTATCCATGGTTCGAAGGTGTCAAGTTCTTTTTCGTTTCGGGACTCAAAGTTGTTGACGCTGCGTCCTGATCTTGCCTTCCGGGGTGCAGTGGATGAAGCAGCGAGTCTTTCAGCCAGGACAGACATGCAGTGACATTCAGAGTTGGAGGTTGGTAGAACAATGCCCCCAGCCACTCAGCCAAGACGGCAGGCCTCTTTTGTTGCATTATTAGGCCAATCAAGTTGCCCTCGTTTGGCCGCATACCTCATTTGCTCGTTTCCAACTGGGCATGGAGGCTCAAAGACAGGCTGCTAATGTCAGCTTTCATAATTGGACCATTGGGCCAACCATTCGAACACTTCGCTGAAGCCGTTGGTCAAACAGCTTGAAGTTTCCGTTTCCTTGCGATCAATGGTCCTGTGCTAGGCTCGTCGCGGCTCTCGCTGCCGGGCCTGGCGCGCTGCGAGGCGAGCTTTGAGAGTGAAGACCGGAAATTTGGCCAGGGTCGCCATTCCACAGCTACTGGCCATTCCATGCTTGCGGGTGCCTTCCGGATGTGGATTGGGCTACAAAGCGCTTGAGAAACGGCTGGTCAACGAGACCTGCCCGGTCGCAAGAGCTGGACATCCCTGCGCCCACACAAGGGTTTGTGGATCTTGGAGACCCTTACGAGGGAAGTAACAAAGAACCTCAGCATGTGGATGACTGGCATGTGCCGGCAAGCAATTAAGCACAATTCTGGACAACACGACCCTCCCTCGCATGGTGGATGTTTCTACTGTTGGTTGCTCCCTGGAAGTTGTCGCAGGAGCTTCCATTCGGAGACTCTGCCTGGCCAAGAACAATTATCAAGCATAAATTCGCGTAGGTGAGTTGCGACCATGTGCAAATTGTAGGTTTCGAGCCCCCAATCCATAGAATTTCATACCGTTCTTGCGAGCGCTTGCCAACATGTGCGGAATCGTTTGGGCGCAATGTGTCCATCATAAGCGTGGTCAAAACCAGCGTGAACGGGAAGGTCATAGCTCCCGAATCCAGAGGATGGCAGACAATTCAGGCAGCTCCTGATATGATTTCCGTGTGAGTGCTTCTCAAGATTTTGCGCTGGCAGAATGTGCTGGGAATTTGCCTCACTCTGTCTCACTCATCCACTCTGAGTCTTGATTTCTTGTGTCTCGGCGCCTTCGCTTTTGTGAGTGTCCTTGGGGCAGACACCCTTTTGGGCCCCTTGAGGTTCGAATTTCAGCCTTTGCCAGGCGCATGGCTGCGAGATGGAAGCCGCTCGGAAGTGCGGAACGGGGTCGGGCGCTGGGCCGCGTCATTGAAGCCGCTCTCAAGATCAGGGCGGCCTGCCCGTTTTGATAAGGCCCAGGGCCAACTTTCACCAGGTCTCTACATGTTTGACACAATCCGGATGTTTCTGGGCAGCAAGCGCCATTCCACTTTGCAGCTCTGGCAAGAGGAGGAGTGGTTTGATGTTTGGTCCCAGGAAGCAGATGATTTCGCAGGACTTATTGTTGCACGGTGCCCAACCGCGGGTTATGAGGGAATGAAGACAGTCTGTTACGCATCCTCAGATTCCGATTGTCAGAAGCCAACGTCACATTGGGTGCGACAGATATGATAGATGTAATATGTGACTACCGTAGATTCGAAATTGCTTGGCCTGCAGGGAGTTCTTTTACACCAAAGCGCATGACACCGGGAGCGGACCTGTGGCACCAGGCAACTTCTCAAGGAAGCTACATGGAACCAGATGCACCTTTACGCGCAGACCCTCTACCTCATGAGTTCTTTGAACGATTCAACAGTTGCATGCACCAAGCGAACCACCATTCTGTGAACCTTAGAGAGATTACTTTGATGCGAGGACTCCGATAATGCGCTTGCTGAGCTTGATGAGCCATCCCCTTTTTCGGAAAACTTCTGCGGGAGGCTGCGTAGACTTCGTCTGAGGAGCGAATGGGCGCTGGATTGGCCCTGTTCAGATGGGAATGGCTACGAACCTGCTTGTCCTTGGTTGGTATTTAGGCTTTAGCCTACAAGCATTGACACTCGTTCGGAAAAACCACGGCCGCCGATCCAGAGGCTGTTTGTTTGGGTGGGCCATTCCGGCATTTCGATGGCGATCCAAATGGAGCAAGCCGAGGCACTGATGAAGCTGATGGAGTCCAAAGGCACCCGGGTGCCCGTGGCGATGCTTCGCTTTCGTTGTTCATACCAGGGTCCTCAGCCACCAAAGAGGGCATCACAATCGGAAATGCTTGAGAGGCCTATAGCCAGAAAGAGGCATCCTCGGGAGTCGCAAATTTTTGTCTTATGTTTGGCGACATGACCATGCCACCAAGGAGGCAGAGGTGGCTTGCAACAACCGCCGTATGAAGTTGCTTCTTCGTCCCACCGCAGAGCCAATCGCATCCTAATTGGGAACTCGCTCTCTCTCCCTCTCTCTCTCTCTCCATTGAAGATTAGAGATGCAGACCTTGTGATGAGGGAAGATTTCCCATCAAAAGTCAGAAGTAGTTTGTTTCGTACTTGGCTGGGTAGCTTAATTTTTCAAGTCAAATCTCCTTGTCGACACTAGACACTCGTTCTTTTCAGATAATAAGATAATAAGTAGCCCTGGGGCCCACACAGGGCGGATGAATCTTGTGATCGCGACCTCGGGGATGGTGATGTTGGCAGTGCCGGCAGTCACCACAGTGTTTTGCCAGATGCATGGCAAAATAGGTAGCATGCAGAACGGCATGTGTTTTTATGTGCCTTGCTTGAGTCTAACTGCGAAACACTTGCTAACCGGGCAACTTTCACCAAGCACCCGGTTCCTCTGAATGTGTTGTTTGTTCGTGTTTGTGATTGCTCTGACTGTGTTTTTGTTGGCGCGCGCGCGCGCGCGCGCGCGGGCGGGCGGGCGTGCGTGCGTGCGTGCGTGCGTGCGTGCGTGCGTGCGTGCGTGCGTGCGTGCGTGCGTGCGTGCGTGCGTGCGTGCGTGCGTGCGTGCGTGCGTGCGTGCGTGCGTGCGTGCGTGCGTGCGTGCGTGCGTGCGTGCGTGTGTGTGTGTGTGTGTGTGTGTGTGTGTGTGTGTGTGTGTGTGTGTGTGTGTGTGTGAGTGTGTGTGCGCGTTGGTGTTTGTGTTTGTGTGCGTGGTACCTTTTGGTTTGGATCAAAGAGAAACCAACATGAAACCTGCAGTTGTTGGGGGCCCGTATTTCACATACCGGTGTCTCTTGTGAAATACTTTGCACTGAGCGCTGCCCTTGGTAGGGATTTGGTCAGGGACGCCTGACAATCATGCTGTTCGGATTTTGCTTCAAGGCCCTTTTCCCAGCAAAGTCCCTGCTCGACGACCCCAAACATATTTATTTCAGCATCCATCAGGCGTATATTTTGCGATAAGGGTGCAGACGGTGCGCGTGCCGACACACATCGGGGATGGTGGACTGTGAGCTTTTGGGTATCCCTGAATGCCCTTTTTGCGTGTTGGTGCTTCCTAGCTTGGCTACGACCGACAGGTGTGACTTGCGTGAAAACTGCGAAGTGCTTTCCCACTTCCTGCACATACGAATCCGTGCTGATGCCAACATGCTGCACCCTGGGATTTTGCAGACCACCAGACCATGGAGCCAAGCCTTTGGAGAAATCTGAGCAGGTCATCTCTGGATTGGACCCTTTGGATATGTTCGGGCCTTTTCGTCCTTCTGATCAGGGAACGAAACGGAGCTCCCATAGTATCACCTTATTCCTGGTGTCTCTCCATGTTTTCCACAAGGGGTCCAAGAGTGCACCTTGGAGTCAGACCTACGTCTCCGCTGGAATCTCGAACGCTCAGGCAAGGCGAAGTTGCCAGAGGCGCTCGGGGTTGGTTAGTCCTGTGGAGCCTTGCGGCATGGTGCGGCAGGCTGCGTGCTTTGTTTGCAGCTTCTTTGCACCGAAGCCTTTGAAGCTGTTGGGCCAAGATTCTAGTACAGGCAACCAAGTTACGCCTAGGAAACTGAGAGGGACTGCGGAGTGGTGACCATGATGTCCCTCCAACTGTTAGCAGCAAAAAGCGAAAGTCCTTGAAGGACATGCTTGTCCATTCCCGCTAGTTTGTGAGTGAAGCAGGCATTGAATCAGACGCACTGGAAACAAATTGTTGCTCCAAACTGATGGCCACACCGGCAGCGGAAAATGCCTGTGTGGTCAACCTGCTGACTGAATGTAGCCGTTGTAGCAGCTCCTCACATTGACATCCTCTTTCCTTGGAGGTCGTCTCGACCAAGCTGTGCTCACCCTTGGAATCGAGTTTCGGGACAAACGTTTCCCCCAAAATGGTTTTCGGCAAACGAGCATGTTGCTTAGACTGCTGTGCCATGAGTTTGGGATTATTGCGAGCTGGGAAGTTCAAGAGCAGCGTTTTTTTTTTAAATGCAGGAGCCAAAAGGAGAGGGGAACTGGCATGGTAGCCGCGTAGCCTACTCCTGGGACCGCGTAGCCTCGCGTAGCCTCCGCGTAGCCACTAGCAAAGGGAGCTGTCGACAATCGTCCGCGTAGCCTCCGCCTAGATCCTTTGTCTTAAGCTCAAGGCTTAGGTTGAAAGCTTGCGTGTCTCAGAGAAAGAGGGTGAATTTGATTTGCCTTGGCCCAGCCAGAGCTGAGTTCGCTCATTCCGCGTAGCCTCAGCGTAGCCTGCGCGTAGCCTCCGCGTAGCCTCCAAGGCGTGTTCAAGGCCACTGGCCCACATGCCTCCTACTACTACTGTTACCATTACTACCACTACTGCTACTACTACTACTACTGCTACTACTACTACTAGTACTACTACTGCTACTACTGCTACCACTACCACTACCACTACCACTACCACTACCACTACTACTGCTGCTACCACTACCACTACTACTACTACTACTGCTACTACTACCACTGCTCCTGCTACTAATACTTCTACTACTATTTCTACTAGTGCTAGTACTAGTACTAGTAGTAGTAGTAGTAGTACTAGTAGAAGTAGTAGTAGTACTAGTACTAGTACTACTACTACTACTACTACTACTACTACTACTACTAGTACTACTAGTACTACTACTACTACTACTACTACTACTACTACTACTTCTGCTACTACGAACTTCCGGTTGCCAACGAGTATTCGCGTAGCCCCGGCGTAGCCCCCCGCGTAGCCACTTATCAACAAATATGTTCCGCGTAGCCTCCGCGTAGCCAAATTCCTAGGGGGAAAGACAGCCGCGTAGCCTCCGCGTAGGTATGTGCTTCCAGTGTATAGGCCCCACACCATTAAAAAAAACACGGCTCAAGTGCCTTAAGCGGACAATGACTCTTGGACATCCTTCCGTTTCTACCGAATGCCAGCAGCGAATTCATCATGATGAATCAAGTTGGAGAAAGCAGTAAAGCACAATTTTCAATTGGTACACCGTCTCTAGTGCGAATATCTCCACATTCAGAAGCAGCATATTTCCATACAATTGTCGTCAAGGGACAACCTAGCACACCGTGTTGAAACCCTAGTAAAGCTGTGCTCGGGTGGGCTGCATTGGCTGCCTTTTGACTTTTGGGAGGCAAATCATCTTTCCGGTGCGGTCGACTTGGCGAGCTGTTTGAGAGTTGTTGCGGTGTGTGCACCAGGCCTTGCTCAAGCCTTGGTGCCATTTTCGTCTGGTGCGGCGCCGAGTCCGAGAGTGGGATGTTTGGGATGCAGCGCTTGGGTAGTATTGAGCTGTAGCTAGCCCTGGTTGCACCTACAGACCCTCTTGTTTTAGTGGTTCAAGGCTTTTTCAGGATATTGTTTTCGCCTCGCGGTGGGTCAAGATTGATTGTTCAGGAAGTTGTTTGATGTCGACCGAAACGGCTACACTGTAAATGACACCATGCAATTCACATTCGGTTGTGCAGGAGTTCCTGAAACACGTTCATTCTTGATTGTGACCCTGCTTGAGTTTGGGACACGTCCAAATACGAGCATCGTGCCGTGCATCGACAGGCTTCTGTGACAGAACAAGACTCCCTCTCCCCTTCCCTCTCTCCCTCTCTCCCGTCTCTCCATCTCTCTATTTCTCCCTCTCTCCCTCTCTCCCTCTCCCTCTCTTCCTCTCTCCCTCTCTCCCTCTCTCCCTCTCTCCCTCTCTCCCTCTCTCCCTCTCTCCCTCTCTCCCTCTCTTCCTCTCTCCTCTGTCTCCCCTCTCTCCCCTCGCTCCCCTCTCTCCCCTCTCGCCTCTCTCTCCTCTGTCTCCCCTCTCTCCTCTCTCTCCTCTCTCTCCCTCTCTGCCTCTCTCCCTCTCTCCTCTCTCTCCTCTCCCTCCCCTCTCTCCTCTCTCCTCTCTCTCCTCTCTCCTTTGTCTCCCCTCTCTTCCTCTCTCCTCTGTCTCCCCTCTCTCCCCTCTCTCCCCTCTCGCCTCTCTCTCCTCTCTCTCCCCTCTCTCCTCTCTCTCCTCTCTCTCCTCTCTCTCCCTCTTTCCTCTCTCTCGTCTCTCTCCCCTCTCTCCTCTGTCTCCTCTCTCTCCCCTCTCTGCTCTCTCCCCTCTCTCTCCCTCTCTCCCTCTCTCCCTCTCTCCCTTTGTCCCTCTCTCCCTCTCTCCTGTCTCTCCCCTCTCTCTCCCTCTCTCCTCTCTCTCGTCTCTCTCCTCTCTCTCCCTCTCTCCCTCTCTCCTGTCTCTCCCGTCTCTCCTCTCTCTCCTCTCTCTCCCTCTCTCCCTCTCTCCCTCTCTCCCTCTCTCCCTCTCTCCCTCTCTCCCTCTCTCCCTCTCTCCTGTCTCTCCCGTCTCTCCTATCTCTCCTCTCTCTCCCTCTCTCCCTCTCTCCCTCTTTCCTCTCTCTCGTCTCTCTCCCCTCTCTCCTCTGTCTCCTCTCTCTCCTCTCTCTCCCTCTTTCCTCTCTCTCGTCTCTCTCCCCTCTCTCCTCTGTCTCCTGTCTTGTTTGGAACTCAGAGCTTGTTGACGGGCCGCTAGATGCATCAACCCGTGCCAAATCTGCTGTGGTGTAGTTCAAACTTTTGGGTCGCCAACCCCCGCAGAAGTATGGGTGCTGAGTGCACAAACTTGTCGGTTGGAAGCGCGCAGCCAGCCAAGCTGGCAGGTATAGCCATCATCACTGGCAGAGAGCAGTTGCCTTTACAACTCTTCATGGCACCACTGCCCCTTGGGTGCCCCAAAACCTCAGGGCCTCCTCCAACCTCTGGGCGTTTTTGGCTTCTTTGGCTTCGCATCCCTTGCGGAAGACCCGATTTCGACCAGGCGGCCGGCCTCCGGAAAGCCTTCGAGAACCTTCTGGCGCGGAGCTCGGCCTCGGACTCTTTTCCGATGCCCGGGGATTGGAGGAATCGATGTGCCTTGATTCGAGTTTGGGTTCTGTCAAAGAGATTTTTTCGTTTGTTCGGGTTTCGGTTCTCCAAGACTTGCTGCGGCTTGGTTCTTTCCTTTTTTTTCTGCCTGTGCAGGGTGCAGGGGCTCCAGCCGTTCGAGGATTGTCCCATAGAGCTGTTTGAACGCGCAGCCAGAGGTTCAGTCGGGGAGGAGGTGTGAGCAGGGGACCACGTGCCATCAGAATTTGAGCAGTAGCTTTGACCCGTGAGGGCGGTTGGCCCGGTAAGCTTTCCCTGTGGTGGCTTCATCATTTTTTGATTGCTGCCCTGCCCTGCTGCTTTTTTTTTTCTGTTTTGTTTTTCAATACCGAGTGTAGACTGATTGCCTGCACAATAGGTGTTTATGTTGTCGCGCACGAGGGAGGGAGAGTGGCAAAGTCCTCAACTTCATCAGGCACGTTCCCCATACGAGTGCCAATTTTTGGGGTTCGGGCTCAACCTTTTTGTCGGTTTCGCATTTGTGGGTGAGCTGCCAAGGAAGCCTTGAAGGACCAGCCAGACATCACAATTGGGTGGGGTGGCTTGAACGGGAAATGCGGGCCTTGTGGGAGGTGCAGTGAACATATTTGCCAGGGCATGACTGCCAACCCAATCAAGGGAACACTCACATTGGTTCAGACATCTAACGGGACTATCAACTTCGGCAAGTGGAGAAGGCTCTGGTGAAACGACAATCCAAGTCCAACAAAACTGGTGTTTGATTCATCGTCGAGCAATGTGCTGCTTCTACAACCCGGGGGAAGTCGACGTGCCAGAAGCAGGAGTATTTGCCTTGCCTTGAGAAGCCCCAACCATGGTCTTCATGTGCAGCCGCCGCCTTTCGCTTGAGAAAGCAATCTGACTGTTGCATATTGGTGTATTTTGTACAAAACATGAAGCCTGACCCGCCAAGGCTTACCAGCACGAACTTGGGCCATGTAGACTGATGAACGTCGCATTCTTCTATGAGTGGAAGCCACCAATATCATAAATTCGGTCCTGTCAATCTCATTGGCTTGAAGCCATGAAAGTCAAACAAGTCCGTTTGAAATTGGTATTGTTGACTGGACCTTGAGCGGTATTTCGGGTTGAGGGCGGAGACACCGAGCGAACCAGAAGGATTCTCAAAAGTCTGAGGCTATGCAGGAGTTTGACAAAGAGCAACAGTATTGGTCATTCGCCTTGCATAATTTTTCTGCATGTTTAACACTGTCATCCTTGACGCTCTCGCAACCTTTGACATGATAGACATCTGTCGGGGGACGATCAGCCAGTTGCTCACCTGACAATCTCGTGCATGTGGCTTGTCCTTGAGAGGCTCAAGCGCTGTGATCCTACCCTTCGCGCGCAGAATTGAGCCACAAGCAACCCATGTATGCCACGTTACACTGTACGACATGTGAATAGGTTCCGCATAGTCACAGCTCGAGTCAACTGCAAAAGAATCGATGATATCGGTTGACATTTGTGCCACATTTGAGAGTCTGTTTGTTCTTGAATGACTTGGATTTGAAGATCGGCCAAAACCGCTCGGCTCTTCTGACTTCACCTCACTCAGCGTCTTGTCTTCGGCCCCGGGGGGGCTGTGCTTTCGGTGAGTTCCTCTTGGCCTTGGGCCGGCTGGCGCCATGCGACCCATGGGTCAAGTGCAGTTCTGCCCGCCGCCGGGGCGCAGAGCGGGAAGGAGAATTGGAATGACCATAGATGTCCTTTTTAGTTGATTTGGTTGAACAAAAAGCAGGGCGATTCCTGGTGTACTTGGTGGGTCAATCAACTACCAGGGCCATCTATTTTCCCAAAAAGGACACATACGGGAATGACCCTCACAAACCATCCAACTGGTGGTTTCCCTCAAGAGAATCCGCAGGTTCATTCCAACTCATTCCCTACCTATCGCACCAGCAAGATGACTCCCACGCTTTGCCCAACGCGGCTTCCGGTTCGTAACACGTCGGGGAACAGGACGGAACCCGCAATATGAAAGCTATGCGGCTGGGCTCACAAGCATGGCGATTGCTCGGGTGTTTTTTATGCATCATACAGAGGACACATTCTTTGGTTTCACGGCCTGGGGGCTGAACTGGTTTCTTCATGTGCCTTTCTCGCGGGTTTTCTTTCAAATTGATGATTCGAGATACACGTTGCAAGCAGTTTGTGACTCAGGAAAGGCCACTGGCATAGCGTGGGTGGGGTTTGTATTGGTGTGGTAGACTCAGCCCATGCTTATGGGCAGCACCTGTACCTTCTTTGTGCTGTTTCAGTGGATTGGACGTGTCAGAAGTACCGACACAATGCTTTTCTTCCATTGAGCGAGGCTTCCTGAATTGCGGTCTTCGGTCTGGTTATGGAGACGGATGCTTGATCACGCCTGGGAATACTTTTCGTGAACGGCTTTAGAGCCAAGGCACACTTGCGTCTAGTTTCGTTTCTTTTTGGAACCAACCATTTGGGGAGGACCTTTGAAAACTTGCCATACCGATCACCCGGATTGTTTGCCACTGGCCTCTAGCGGTTCATTCGCACCCCATTGGTCAAGCCATGGCACAAATCCCTTTGAGCAAGCAACTCCGCAGTGCGGTGCAGGAAAATCGGACGGCGTGATACTCTGTGAGTGTCTAAGACGGCGTCAGGAACATGAATCTTGCTAGTGGCATCGGGCGTCAATAGCATTCGGGCTACGTTTCAACATGTGACAACTTTGAGCCACTAGCACAACCTTACTCTGTTTCCACAACGACATTGCCGTCGCAGCCGGACCTCTCTCGGCCCGTTGACAGAAGTGTTTGGTCATGCAGCCCTCGAGGCCCGGCGCGGCGCAGTACTATCAGGCGCAGTGGGCCAACTTGAAACCACACCAACAGGTCCTATTTTGGTCGCTTCCTGGATCATATTTGGAGCAAGGGGTTTAGCCATGCTCATTGAGAGCACCAAAGCCAGAGAAACCTCAAGAGTGAGAGTCTACACGTGTTTTTGCAGTGGTTGCTTTTTTTTGGTGATCATAGGTGGGTATGTTAGCGTTTGATTGAGGCGCAGGCACTAAGAACCAACACATCATCACACTGCTGGCATGATGAAGGTGTACACTGCACGAAGTGCTGTCGTTCGTCCATGAAACATATATTCCATAGTAGACACATTGGAAGTATATGTCATCAATGCAGTTTGGCGTTCTGGAGGAGATCGAGAAATCATAGCACAAGCAACCACCTTCACTTTGAAACACTCGGGTAGCTGTCAAACCTACCCCTTCCAACAGGGAGCCATTCGGCCAAAAGGATTGAGAGCTTCACTCAGAGAACAATCAGCGCGTGCCGGACAAGGCTTGCTGGACGTGCTAAAGAATCATGTTGGATCTGAATTTGCCTGCTCTTGAGATCGCTTGAGGGCCAAGCGCCAACGCATGTCAACCACATTCCAAACTTCGCAGGCTTAGGCCATGGGCTCAGTGGGGAGTGCTGAAGAAGGAGTTCCTGAGACGGGCGTTTCCTTGTAGCGGAGTCATGTTCTGGGGCAGATATTTAGGTGGTTGCGTGTTTGTGGCGCACCACCTTGTGTATGGAGAGTGATATAGATTGTCAAACAGAATCTCATCCACCGGATTTACACCTTTTCTGCGTATGTTGAATCATTCACCCAACGATCACTCAAGGAGCATGTAGCGCCAACAGGCGCGGGGAGGGGCGTTAGCCGCACTTGCAGGAGACGCAGATGAGCGCATGTGCAAATCGCACGTGTTTTACAGCAGTTTTTGTGGAACACCTCCCTGCGCTTCATGAACTTGCGCCGGCAAGACCAACACCGCACGAGTATGCGGCACTTGCAAACGGCATAGTTTTCGCGCGCTCAAAACATATTGTGTTTTGCCAGCATATGTGCGGCAAACTTGCCCTGCGTTGCCTCAACATGCGCGCAGCAGGATGAGCGTCGTGGGGGAAGCTAAATAAAATTGGGCCTGTTTTCGAGCTGGCCCCCAGCGAGCAGCGCCAGCTTGATCCTTCATACGAAGCACTGCTCACCCCCCAGGACCCTCCGAATTGTGGGTCTTCTCATGGCATTCTTTATATGCTTGATCCGCCAGTTTGTTTTTCGAGCTTCGTATCATCACTTGTTCAAGAGGCCAACAGTTGTTGGATGCTCACAACTGGCTTCCGCCGTGACCAGAGCCTCTCCAGGCACGGCCCTTGATGGGCGGGCAAGTGCATCCTCAAGGCCGGGCGAACGTGTCGCGATCGATGAAGGGACCCGTGCGGAATGCAGCAAGCTGTGCAGTAGATTCCCGTGCTTTCCCTGCAGACTGGGGGCACTGACAATTCGGGTTAAGGACTTGCTCGCCAGCTGGCGGAGGACAATACGTTGGCTAGATCTGGTTGCTTCGGCTAGGGCCCAGGGGCTACGTCGCGTGTCTTCAGCCAGGGGATTGAAACCCAGATGCAGACTTTGATATCTTTCGTCAAAGTGAGAGGCTTTTCCGCGAAGCAGTCGATTGGAGTCGAGAAGTTTGCAGATAAAAGCACCCCCAAGGCCATGGATGGTTTGCAATCCCAAGCTGCAGTTGCTACAGTTGCTTGCGTGTCAGGCATGCTATCTGACAGTAGACTGATGTCCGCAGCTATGCGGAACGCAGCTTGATCGGATAGAGAAGCTGCATGAGTTTGTGGTCCGTTTTGTTTTCCACGGATGCATCGCAGCTTGGCTGCAAAGCATAGCGTTGCTCTGCTAGTGGCGGTGTTTCATTCTTTCCAATTCAATTGACTGGGGTTCAAGGGTGGACTGTCAACACTATCTAGAACATCTTTGAGTTCAAGAGTATCCCAGTCTTGAAAGCGGGACAGAGTTTGCAGACGTGCAAGTCATCACCTTGAATTTTTGGCACAGCACTTGTCTTCAAGACGGGGCTGATTGACTTTAAGTTGATTGGCCAGGCAGCACGGACCTGTTCATTCCGACTGGTTCAGGCCAAACAACATGCACATACTCCGTTGTGACATGCGCGTCCCGGGTGTACGGATGACATTGGCTGACATTCCCGATGGAACCACATACTGTACTTCTTTGGCCAGCAGTTGCCTTTGGCTGTGCGGTTTGGACTTCAAGCACATGGACAAAGTGTTTTGTTTGATTGGCTTTCTGATATGACCACTTCTGCCAGGCAGTCATACGTGCAGCTGCTGATATACAATTATTGCCAGTGCTTGTAGTTTTGATATCCAGCGTGCGGAGGTCATTCACCACCAGCGAGAACCTCGTAATTCATGACGTTTCAAGTTGAGTTGAGCCCTTTCATCCTTTGTTCCCTCCGCAGCCTGGACCCGTGGTAGCTTTCTCAGTGATATGCACTTTTGCAGTGTCATGAATGCAAACCTCACGACAAGTATTCAACGGGATATTCCCCACGGAGGTCAGCACCTAGATGAACTAGATGCTGCAAACTCGAGCAGTCAGCAGGGGAGCCGATCACCCGCGCAGGCGTCGCTGCTCGGCCTGGCATGCCTGGCTTTCCGCAGCAGATGCATCAGCAGCAAAAGCCGCAGTC